AGCTCGCCGAGCTTAGCTCATGAGACACAGCACATGTGACACGAATGAGGCACGTAGAAACAAAAAAGAAACGCGAAATAATACGTCTCGAAATGTACCAGGCACCTACGATCTTATAGAAACCGTGTCTCTATCACGCGGGATGGATGCACGTGTACATTAACTCTGGGCATAACATCTCTGATCTCGGAAAACAAGATCAACTGACCTTCGGAAGGGAAGTAAAGCCGTTTGTCCCCGGTTCACGGCTTGATGGTTCATGACTTGACCAATGGCGTCGGTGCTCAGCACGGAAAACAAATCAAGAAAAAGAAACGCTCGCTCTTAATAAAATAATAAATTTTCGTTTAGTATACTTTTTGCTTCAGTTCGTTTCATACATCTCACGCGTTGTTTATTGATATTCTTGTACATTAACGGAGATAGCTTAGTTCTGATGTGAGTTTAAAATGCATATTATGCATTTACAGTGGAGTCGCTTTTTACGCGGTTTATTTTTACACGGTTTTTTTTACGCGGTTTTTTTTCCGCGAATTTCTGAATTTACGCGGATTCCGGAATTTACGCGAATTTACGGAGAATTTACGCGTTTTATCATTATTCACTAGAGTCGCTTTTTACGCGGTTTTTTTTACACGGTCTTTTTTTACGCGGTTTTTTTTTACGCGGATTTCGGAATTTACGCGGTTTTTTTTTACGCGGATTCCGGAATTTACGCGGTTTTTTTTTACGCGGGACGTATCACCCGCGTAAAAAGCGACTCCAGTGTTTATTGACTTTCAAGGTATGAATTACAGCGTTCGCTATTTGGTGGATTTTAAAAAGAAAACATATAAAAGACAAACTCTAATAAGATTTAGTTTATCGGTCATAATTCTGCAACATCATAATGTAATATGGTGTCAGGCGCACTTTGAAATGTTTTAATCTGTTGTTTTGACGTTGAACTACGTCTTTGTCGACTATACTGGGGTACAAATCAAAAAATATGTGTGGTGGAATAGTGTTAGGTTTTGAACGATTGTAACTTTATCATTTATGGATGTAATTAAAATCCAAATACACTAATCGATAGAATATTACTTATCAAACCTTCTGAAATAAAAAAAAATCCAATTTTTAATCAAACAACTTTTGAAAAATGCTGTCAAATTTTGGTCACTGTTTTCATCAACTAAACGTTTTTCCCAAACCCAGTCATCATAAAGGAATACCACTTGGTTGCACATCATTCTGCTGAAAAGAAACCTGAAAAGATATAAATCAGCGCTGCTCTCCTGCCTCTGCTCATTATCGCTTCGGACGGCATGGCACTAGGTCCTGCAGCAAGCAGGACCAAGTCAGTGGCTAAAGGTGGCGTGATTTTTTTTGGGTCGATTGGTTTTAAGTTGGTGTGCAATGTGGTAAAATAAATCTTTTGATTGTTATGTATTTTAGTACGCTGATGGTATCATTTTGGAATATTTAGCAGTAATTAATACTTCATATGTATTACCAGCATAACAAAAAGTGTAGACGAATGGAATCCGCTTATTTATAAAGCAATGGTAGCCCTTTAATTGTATATACAGAAGGGACGGAAGCACTCAAGGCATTTTGAAACATGATGGTGTAATTTAAAAAAGTGTGACTGTTTTTCCGAGTGCATTTCTGACCATTCCAAGAATTTCAACATGGGACATAATCAGCTGATTAAAATACCTCAGATTAAACAGATGTTTTCGCTCAGGACCGGGGTGGATCAAAATTCAAAATTGAACAACTATACCTAAAATATACATACATTATAACAATTTTGAGAGTTAAATAAATTTGCGATTAGCTAACTGGAAGCCACTTACAATAGCTTTGACTTGCTACCTAAATACTAACTACAAAATTTATTTGAATTGTTGAGATTACAACTGCTGCTAAGTTCTACTATTTATTTTAGTGGGATAAATGGCCGAAACCCAGCTAGAAAATTAAAATGTTGATGAGATTTCAGCAACCAATAGATATGTCGGAGATATAACAGCAGAAGTAAATACCGAGCTACTCAGCTGTCGGAGATTTTACTGAACTAGATTGAGTATGTATGCTGTGTTAATTCATGTTATTGTACAAAATACATCAAATCACATTAATCTTTCTACTGTAACGTGAAAAAATTTGAGGATTTTCTTTTTTTTTTTTGTAATCAAATATATTTGTCACGGTATAATTCCATAGATTCAGAAAATGTAGACAGCTATTGCTTATTGATGGTAAAATTTTGATTTACCTGAAAAAAATGTTCTTTTTCCACACGCTTAGGGTAACTGACGGATTCAGCAAAACTTTAACCTATTGCATCAAGCAGGCTAAATAAAATCCTTGACCGCTTATTTTAGGTATAAGGGTACATAATGTTTCAGAGCATTGATTAGTCGAAATTAAGCGCTGAAGGACTTCGTTCACCCGCTTATGATAATAGGTAAAGGTATTGCCGAAGCCTTCATTTACCCAAGATTTGTTGTCCCCATCTTTCCAAATTTTTGCTGAGATTTTCACAGCCGAGTACTCAGCAACAAGCAGGCCTGTGGTTGTGGTTAGTCAAGGTTAGTCGGCGATTAACCTGTAATTCTGCATTTATAATTATCTTGTTTCTTTTGCTCGCCCCCAGAAATACACTCAAGAGTCTTTAATTCGCTTAACCTGCGTCGGAGGAGTTGTTGCTGTTTATTTCTAAATTCAAATGTGGTAGAGCCCGACATCGATGATGCAATCCAACACAAGTGTTTTTTTTTTATATTTAGGTGATCCATGAGGGTGACCAAAATACAGAATAAGGTTATCTATGGTCTTTCTTGCTGTGAAAATTCCAAGAACTTCAATAACAATTAAGTGCTAATTTGTTGAGGTCATTCAAGAGGATGACAAAAGTATCCATGGACCTCTCTATGGGTAAAAACTCAGAATACTCATTCAACTTTAAAAACAAGTACACAGAAAAAAGTTCTGAATTTTAACCGTCACGTAATATGTCCCCTCGTTTAATTTTATGCTATAATAGTCGGCATAAACAACGAAATGGCAGCTGGAATATTGGCTCATTATCCTACTTCCTTATCATGTTCTCGATATGCAAATATTTGGAATATCGCCTACCAGGCATGGAAAAACATTTGCATTCATTTCGTGCATTCATTTACAATCATTTGCCTTTAACTTTTTTTTTTTTTTTGAACAGCATTCCGCAAAATGCTGTATAGATCTTTTGTAGGTTTTGTTATTAACTACAACTTTTGTTAAGAAGTCAAATTCGTCTCTCCTATGCATGACGAACCAGAGTGTACAGAAGCCACTACTATTTTTCAGTGAATGTATTTTACATTCACTGAAAAACAGTAACAAGTTCTGCCCGCTCTAGTTCGTGATGCATAAGAGATACAGATTTTACTTATGAGCAAAAGTTGTAGCTAAAAACAAAACCTACAAAAGTTCCATACATTATTTTGCAGAATGCTGTTGATGAAAAAAGTTAGAGGCACATGGATGTAAATGAATGCATGAAATTAATGCAAATGATTTTCCATGCCTGTCGCCTCCCTAAGATCCTGAAATTCTGATGCTTCATCCTCATGAAGTTCTTGACATTCTTATTTTAGGAATGTTACCCTTCTAGAGGATCGAATATTTGGAATATCGCCTAACGGAGACCTTGAAATTCTAATACTTTGTTCTAATGATGTTCTTACATTCTCATTTTAGGAAAATCACCCTTCTAGAGAACCATTACCACCTCATTGATTATTTTGAAATTTTAATGCTTAATCCTTATGGCGAATTTTTGGAATAAAGGGTCAACAAAGGACTTTTTATAACCTCGTCGACAATTTTGAAAACTTGAAATTCTGAAGCTCTCGACATTCTTATTTTTGGAATATTACCCTTATAGAGAACCATTGCCCATTTGTTGATAATTTTGTACTACTGATACTTCGTCCTTATCAAGCTCTCGATATGTGAATATTTGAAATATTGCCTTCCTTACAATTTTGAAACTTTTGAAAGTTCTCGACATACGTATTTTAGGAAAGTTATCCTTCCGAGGACTATTGTCACCTCGTTGATGTTTCTGAAATTCTAATGCTTCGTCCTTAGTTCCAATATGCGAATATTTGGTATATCGCCTACCGGAGAACTTAAAATTCCTCATAATGATCCTTCATCCTCATAATGTTCTCTCTCTCTTATCTATGCAATGTCACCGTTATAGAGGATCTTTGTCACACCGATTATTTCAAAATTCTTTTGCTTCAGTCTGGTGAAGAACTCGATATTTATATATTTTGAATTTCGCCATAACATATATGTCACCTCATGAGAAAAAAAAACTGCGTTATTATTTTACGATCACAGAACTGGCAACAAGTTATGCAGAGCTCTTCGCAAAAAAGACAGCTGCTTGCTGATAATCACCGAAACCTTTTCTGAGACTCAGTTGCCAAACTTCACTTTGTTGGAGCTCGGCTGTTGAACATTTTTGGCTAAAATGGCCGAGATTCGGCAAAGAAAACATTCAAATGTAAATCTTATAAAATTATCAGGCTCGATTTTATCAAATCTTTGTATGGTCATAATATTTTTCAAGAAACCATACTATAATATAAATAACAACAATACAATTCACTTTGAAACGCTTACAGTGAGTTTAAGGAGGGAACACCAAAAAATGAGCTGTAATTATTGTGTTTTTGAGCTTCCGCCCTATTCCACCCTCAAGAGCTATTTTTCAAGTTTACATTGTTCTCCAAAGCGCCCTCATTCTTCATGGTTCCGAGAACAAATTGCGAACCAGTGATCGTATTATCGGTAAAAATGTACGGTGGTTTGCAGACTGAAGACAGCCCTGAACACGTGAATAGAGAAGAAGACAAGAAAAAGAAAACAACCAAAAATTCCTCTTGGCTACAGGCTAGTCCACATACACACAAACACACAGCAATTTGCTCTCAGCATTCTTTATGGAAACTTACCTTTCCGTTACGTGGCCGGTAATTTCCAGTGGATGCGGTTCTAGCGCGTTGTATAGGTCCTTTTCGGTTACCCAGAAGGAGCGGACCGTTCAATTTTATTTTATTGGCTCATTTTTAGATGCCGTGGCGTCCTGTTTTGCTTTCTTATTTGGGTTTTGGCTTATTTTGTCTCTATTTCTGTTGGACACTGTTCTTCCACTGCAATAACGTTAGGGTAAATTTCTGCGACAACGGCGACGGCAAGAACGGAAACATTTATTTACAAGAGGAACGTCGGTTCACCCGTACAACCTGGTGATGACGACGGTTTAGCAATTACGGTGCCTGTTTTATTACATTCCTTTTGAAGGCTCGCTCGCGCATTTCCTCTCACCTTCGTGCAATCGTTGAGGCCAAACAGAAAAGGTAAAAACGTTAAAATTTCTAGCACTTTTATTTTTATTCTTCAAAATTGGAGAATCTAGCCCCGACATGAAACAGCAACACCTGGAAGCACACAGTCAATGGGGCTCTGGTTGGGTATCACTGCAACGTTTTTCACTTTCTCACTTGGAGCGACTATGGGTTCCACGTTTACATAAAAAATGTAATAGCCGGAAACGAAGGTTTCCCCATTGGGAGCCAGACATTAAACTACTAACGGTGGCTATTTTGCGCGGAGGGATGGAACGGTTTCATTTCACGGTACAAATATCCGCTTTTCACTCCACAGTCACTGAATGGCGGATGGAAATGCAGCACTCGCCTTCTTCCTCCCGTTATTGGTTTATTGCATTCAATCTGGTTGATTTGATGGCTTGTTGACAAATTCGCTTTTAACGTTCTAGGTTTTTAGATTATTGGTTGCGATTTTTTTTCTGTCGATACGATTCTGCTGCGTTGTGTTTATTTTACAATTTCATGGAATAGGTTTTGCGTTTGTCCGACTATTCCATTGAGTACGCAACAAGGTTTAAGCTTTTTGCTCTATTTACAGTTGCTTTGATTTTGTATTAATTAAAACGTGACGATTCTATTTATTGGCCATGTAGGTTGTATAGCAATATACGGTAATGATCATTCGAGTGACTAATTTAAACATTGGTCTAGCTCGGAAATGCAGTTGAGTAATGTTAATCTGAAATAAGCAAAATGTAAAATTAATAGATATTAGTATACGTTTAGTTATTTGCACATTTATACAGTTTATAGTTATGGAATGTTCAGGACTTGTGAACAATCTAATTTTTGATAGTGTAGCATACTATAAATCATCTAAATTGAATCCGACCTACAATCTCAAATTTCATGACAAAGACATTTTCGAGACCTACAAAGTCGAGCCACTTGTAAACCAAACAAAAGTGCCATCCGCACTTGTTGTTCCATAGATATATAAACAGTCAAATTATTGCAACCACATGTTTTCCTTTTGCGCTATGACCCAGAATGCGCGTACAGAATAATAAGCGCAGCGACAATGACAGCGACCCGGAAAACAACAAACCCAAATTCTTTCCTCATATCTTTTCGGCAACCTTCGTCTATGTACTCAGGCGAATGGAATCGCGTAACTGGTCACCATCACCTACGACGAAGTCACGTGATTGGTTGATTATGTTTGGAGACTAGTAAAGGTTACCTCCTACCGATTAAGTACGAAATGTAGAGTTAAGTTTCTTAGACTTAAGTGGTGCAAATAAAAATCAGTCAAAACTCATTACTCGAACCGGCAACATGCCCTTACTCCAAAAATATCACGAGCCATAGAAACCCAACGTTACATGGCAGACCGTGAAGTGAGTTTAAAAAAACCAGTTTAAAGTGAGCCAGTAGTGAAAAAAAAAATTGCACTGAAACAATTGTAATAACCGAAAATGGGCAGCGAACAAACAAAAGAAGAAAACTCAAAAACGGTTGGAGATCAAACCGTTACAATAGTGGAAAACCAGGAAATACACACTGGCTACCACGAACAACAAAATTGGAAGTTGAACCTAATTCTGGTTCTTCTAACGATTCAAACATTAGTAACGGTCGTGAAAGTAATCGCAAGATTAGCGACGAAAACTCTGGACAAGGCTGTAGAAAAAGCCACCACAGTCCGCAGGGTATAACCCAGTGCGAAGCAAAAAGTGCCCACAAAGAAGTGTGAAAAACAGTGCCCACTAAGAATTATTGAATTGAACAAATTGAACGATACAAGTGAACCGAACCACAAAAAGTTATGCTACGTCAATGCTTGCACAGGTACGCGACGGAAAACGATTAAAGTAAACAGAAACCAGCGGGCGTGCGAAAATGAAATGCATCGCGATAGCGAAAAACAACAAAACGCGAACTTGAACTTGACTTCCTTGTGAACTAGTGTGGAGTAAAGAACCGATTCAACGGATCGGGTGTCGAGCACCAGAAATCTACCTTATACAAACGAAAACGCGATAATGCAGTGCGACAAGTGGATGACTACACGAGATAATGCAGTGCGACAACGGGATGACTCAACGAGGTAATGCAGCGCGACAGCAGAAAGCGATGTGAATGAACAAAACCAAGCAAAAACGTATGTAACACATCAGTAATTATTAATTAGTATTAAGAGTGCCAAATGACAAGTAGGGACAACATCAACTCGTTAATAGATCAACTAAATTTAACGTATACAAACCTATCAAAAGCTCCGAATAGAATTTATTGTAGAAGCACCATTAAAGGTAAACTTAAACTTACGAAGCAAGTATACGAGGAAATACAACAAAATTTACAAGAAATTGAAAGTGAAATACCCACAGATAAATTAGAAGAAACAATCAAAAGTACAAAATTATTATACAGCAAACTATATCTAATACTGCAAGAAAAACTAGCAAATTCAAAACCCACGTTATCTTTCAAATCATCCGTGTACGTTGTAATATTCACCAATTATAAAACAAAAAAAATTGAAAATGCCATTCGACATAAAAACGGCGACCGCCATTGTGCAACCATACGATGGGAACCCAGACCATCTAGACTCTTTCATCGATGCAGCCACGCTGCTGAAAGACTATATAACTGCTGATCAAATTCCAATTGCAGTCAAATTTCTCAAAACACGACTGACAGGTAAAGCCAGAATAGGCTTACCAGGAAACCTAAACACGATCGATGATGTAATAAACGACATCAAAGCGAGGTGCAAGGACCACCAAACACCAGAAAATATAATCGCAAAAATTAAAAATATCAAACAAAAAAACGACACTAACAGTCTTTGTGACGAGATCGATGCACTCACGATGAAATTAAAAAGCATCTACCTACAACAAGGGATTCCAGAAGGCGTATCTCAAGCCATGGCAACCAAAACGGGAGTTGATGCTCTAATAAATAGCGTAAATTCCGAAACAAGATTAATTCTGAAGGCTGGAACCTTCAATAACATAAAAGATGCGATACAAAAAGTACAGGAAAATGCATCACAGAATAGCACGCCCCAAATTATGACTATAAATTCACACAGAAACAATAACTATGAGAGAAACGGACGTGGTAATAGACCTTATCGCGGCAACTCAACATCTTATCGCGGAAGATTTAATAACAATCATCGCGGCAACAATAGGTTCCAAAATAATTTCCGGACTAATTCCAATAATTACCAACGTTCTTCGAATTATTATCCTCCACGGAACAATTTTGGGGGCAAGCGCGATACTTCAAGACGCGTCTATACCATTCAAACAGAACACCCCCAACCAATACAATCATTTCCAGTAAATTTCTCACACCCGATGACAACACCGCAAAACACCCCACACGCAATGGCCCCACAATACCAACAACAACCAAATTTCCAACAGCCACATTTTTTTGGTCAAATTCCGAGAGGACCACTACCATCCTCTCAATGAACCTCAAGGCGTCAAACTACATTTCAGTAAAGACGCAAACGACAAATAACAAATGCTCTTTTATCATCGATACTGGAGCAGATATATCAATATTCAAAGACGAGAAAATCCCACCACACCAACAAATAAATATAGATAAACGATACAAAATCAACGGTATAACTAATACAACTATTGAAACAATAGCTGAAATGCAAACAGCCCTTATTGTAGATAACATAACCCTAGTACATAACTTTCAAATAGTTAGCAGTGACTTCCCCATTCCCACTGACGGAATACTGGGAAGAGACTTCCTAATCAAATTCAAGTGCAACATCGACTACGAATCATGGTTGCTCAATTTTAATATAGCGAATCATAGCGTTACCATACCTATTCAAGATAACGTAGGAGACGCATTTACTATACCCGCCAGATGCGAAGTAATTAGAACCATACCGAATTTTCCAATAATAGAAGATTCTATAGTACTTTCACAGGAAATCCAACCAGGTGTTTTCTGTGGAAATACTATAGTATCTTCGACATCGAAATATGTTAAATTTGTAAACGCAACAGAAAACCAAGTTGTTGTAAGAAACTTCAAGCCACGAATAGATGCATTGAGGCACTATAACAAAATTTTACCAGAAAACATATCCAATTCAAGCGAAAATAAAAGGCAACATGAACTAATATTGCAAATGAACTTAGAACATGTACCTATTTTTGCAAAAAGCAAACTCATGAACTTAATCCTTAAGTATCAAGATACATTTTGCTTACCTAACGAACATTTAACAACAAATAATTTTTATAAACAATCCATTAATTTACAGAATGAATCTAATGTGTACATACCGAACTATAAACAGATACATTCCCAAGCGAATGAGATCAGTAATCAAATTAACAAAATGATGGCAGACGATATAATCGAACCCTCAATATCACATTTTAACTCACCGATTCTACTAGTACCAAAGAAGTCGGAGGATAGCACAAAGAAATGGAGATTAGTTGTCGATTACCGTCAACTAAACAAAAAAATATTGGCAGACAAATTTCCACTGCCGCGTATAGATTCAATTTTGGACCAGCTAGGCAGGGCAAAGTACTTTACTACCCTTGACCTTATGGCTGGATTCCATCAAATCCCATTAGAGGAAAACTCTAGAAAATATACAGCATTTTCTTCCACAGATGGACATTTCCAATTCAAAAGACTACCATTCGGGTTAAATGTCAGCCCAAACAGCTTCCAGCGGATGATGAATATCGCTTTAGCTGGACTAACTCCTGAATGCGCATTCGTCTACATTGATGACATTGTAATAATTGGATGCTCAATTGATCATCATTTGAACAATCTTGAGCAAATATTTCAGAGAATGAGATTTTACAATTTAAAACTCAACCCACAAAAATGCAAATTCTTTAGGACCGAAGTTACTTACCTAGGTCACAAAATCACAAATAATGGCATTCTGCCAGATGACTCTAAATTTCAAACAATTAGAGATTATCCAGAACCTACAAATGCAGACGAAGTCCGCCGATTTGTAGCTTTCTGTAATTACTATCGCAAGTTTGTTCCAAACTTTGCAAACTTGGCGAAACCATTAAATAATTTATTGAGAAAAGGTACTTCATTTTCTTGGAAGGGGGAAGAAAAGGAAAGTTTTCTTCTATTAAAACGACACTTACTTTCTCCTAGAATCCTTCAATATCCCGATTTCTCTAAAGAGTTTATCCTTACCACTGATGCATCAGACATTGCTTGCGGTGCAATTCTTTCGCAACAGTATGGAAACAAAGATTTGCCAATTGCTTTTGCTAGCAAAACTTTTACTAAGGGAGAAAAATCGAAACCGGTAATTGAGAAGGAGTTAACTGCCATACACTGGGCAATTGACTACTTCAAACCCTATCTTTATGGTCGAAGGTTTAAGGTCAGAACAGACCACAGACCATTAGTCTACTTATTTGGAATGAAGAAGCCAACTTCTAAACTTACGAGAATGAGGCTGGACCTCGAAGAATATGACTTCGATATTGAATATTTACCAGGAAAAGCAAATGTAGGAGCAGACGCCCTATCGCGAATACCGACAAAATCTGAGGACCTCAAATCTTTGATACTTGTGGTCAATACTCGCTCAATGACCAACAAACAAAAACAAAATATAAATAACAATACCACACAATTGGAAGAACCCAACAGAGAGACTGATCACCTCACTGTCTGGCGAACTGAAAA